CTGTCTAGGGCAGGGGTAGCTATCTTTGACCTTGACTTTGATGCTATTCTTGCCGCTATGTATACTGTCTCTATGAGTGAGGAGGGTGACTGTTAGCGGTGTTTCCCGCCCGACCCGGGCATTGAGCCTGCTGCTCTAGGTGCTGGTGAGGCTGCTGCTCTTGGGGCTAGCGAGGCTGCTGCTCTAGGTGCTAGTGCGTCTGCTTCCTCCGGTACTAGTGAGTCTGCACTCTCAGGTACTGCGTCGGCTTCAGCCTCCCACACCTTCACACTTGACTCGGGGGCTTCTCGCTCCTTCTTTCGAGACCGCACCACACTCACGCCGCTTCGTCGGCCAGTTGCGGTCTCCCTGGCAGACCCCTCTAGGAGTCCTGTCCTTGCTCACTTCTCCACTGTCCTCCCTTGTCCGGCGGCCCCCTCTGGCACCCTGTCTGGTCTTTACCTCCCCTCGTTCTCTACAAACTTGGTGAGTGGTGCTGACCTACAGGATGCGGGGGCTCACCAGTTCACTCCTGCGAGTCAGCGGGTGACCCACTGCACGGACGCTCGGACAGGCTGACACCTGGCCACGTTTACACGTCGGCCGGGGTCGAGCCTGTACACACTGACCACTGCGTCTCCTCCAGTCCCTGCGTCTGGTAAGGTAGCTGCGCCAGGTCAGGTGTTAGCTGCAGCGTCCAGGTCTGGTCCTACTCGTGTCGCCTCCTGTCTCACGAGACTCTCCTCTGGCACCACCGCCTTGGTCACCCCTCCCTGCTTCGTCTCTGAAGCATGGCCTCCCGTGTCCTTGTCTCTGGTCTTCCCCGGTCCCTCCCTCCCCTTCCTCAGGGGCCTGGCCCTACCTGCGTCCCCTGTGTCGAAGGGCGGCAGCGGGCTACCCCTCACTCCTCCCAGTTTCCTCCAAGAGAGGCCGCGCTGCAGACGCTTCACATGGACGTGTGGGGCCCAGCCCGCGCCCGTGGACAGGGTCACGAGCGCTACTTCCTGCTGGTGGTTGACGACTACTCGCGTTACACCACAGTCTTCCCCTTGCGCAGCAAGGGTGATGTCACTGAGGTGTTGATCGACTGGATCTGCGCAGCTCGTCTCCAGCTCAGGCGGAGCTTCGGCTCGGACTTTCGTGTTCTGCGTCTGCACTCTGACATAGGCGGAGAGTTCTCCTCTGGCCTTCTGCGAGCCTACTGTCGTGCACGAGGCATCCGCCAGACCTTCACGCTTCCGGACTCTCCACAGCAAAATGGGATTGCTGAGCGCCGCATTGGCATGGTCATGGACGTCGCCCGTACGTCCATGATGCATGCGGCTGCCCCCCATTTTCTGTGGCCGTTTGCGGTTCGGTACGCGGCGCATCAGATCAGCCTTCAGCCCAGGGTCTCCATGCCGGAGACCTCCCCAGCCTTGCTGTGGACGAGGAAGGTTGGCGATGCGTCTGCGTTCCGTGTCTGGGGATCTCGGGCGTTTGTCCGCGACTTGTCTGTGGACAAGCTCTCCCCTCGTGCTGCTCCTTGCGTCTTCCTGGGTTTCCCCCCTGACGCGCCCGGGTGGCAGTTCTACCACCCCACCTCTCGCCGTGTTCTGTCCTCCCAGGACGTCACGTTGGACGAGTCAGTCCCCTACTAACATCTCTTCCCCTACCGCAATCCGTCCCTCCCTCCGCCACCACTCTTCCCTGTGCCAGGTCCCCCCCCGGTAGACCCCCTCCCCCCTCAGGGTCCTGCCCCTTCATGTGTGTCCCAGGTAGACGCTGTTGAGCTTGTGGAGGTCGCTGGTGACTCTGGTGCTGCTGAGGGTGCTGAGCCTGGGGGTGCTGACTCTGGGGGTGCTGAGCGTGAGGGTGCTACGCCTAGGGGTGTTGAGCCTGGGGGTGCTGAGCCTGGGGGTGCTGAGCCTGGGAGTGCTGAGCCTAGGGGTGCTGAGCCAAGGGGTGCTACGCCTGGGGGTGCTACGCCTGGAGGTGCTGAGCGTGGAGGTGCTGAGCCTGAGGGAGCTGGGCTTGCTCGTGTGGCGTCTAGCGGTGCTGTGTCTGGCGGTTCTCCGGGTGCTTCGTCTCGCCGGGAACCACTCTCTCCACAGGAGCTGCGTGAGTGGTTTGCCCGGCGCTGGAGGCAAGCTGCTGGAGCTGGAGGTACTGCGGGTTCTGGAGGTTCTGCTGCTGCTGAGGGTGCTGGTGCCGCGCGTCCCGGCCGTGCTCGTACTCGGAGTACTGGAGCTGCTGGGCCTGCGGGTACTTCTGGAGTTTGAGCTGCTGCGGGTGTTGGCGCGGAGGCTACTGCTATCGGTCCTGGAGGTGGTCCTGCTGGGGGTGCTACGGGTGCTGCTGGAGGTACTGGAGCTGGAGGTGCTGCTGGTGCTGGTGCTGCCGCTGGGGGTACTGGTGCTCTCCCTGCTGTGTCTGGAGTCGCCGCGTGGCCTCAGCTGTACTTCGTTCCGCTCCTTCAGCAGGTTCTTGGTCTCCCGCCTTCTACTAGTCCTCCTCCTCCCTTCGAGTGTCCACAGCCTGTCCCGTCACAGTTACAGTTACAGCCGGCCTCCCGACTGCCTGCTCCGTCTCCCTACACTGGTCCTACTGGAGGTCTTGCTGAGCGTCGTGAGCCTGCGTCTCGCCCTGCGTCGCTTGTCCGTGCTGCTCGCACTAGTGGTCGCGGTTCGCGTCAGCGTCCTCCTCCTGTCCCTGGCACGCACCGGATGTCTCTACGTCCGTCCACTGCTCCTCTGCGTGCCCCTTTACCTTCTCCTCCTAAGTCTTCTCTTCCTGCTCTTGCCGACCCAAAGTCGGACTCTCTTCGTTCTGCCAGTCCTACTGTCACGCGTCTCCTTGCTACTGTTGTCATTGACCCTTCCTTTGAGTCCACTGCTGCGTCTGCCCTAGTTGCTGAGCTCGTCGACTTTGCTGCTCGCTGTCGCCTAGACTACACGCCAGTCTTGTTGCGAAGTCTGAGTCTGTCTGTCCTCTGTCCGTCGGGGGTGAGTGTGCCCTTGGCACGGACGTCCTTGAGGACAGGCAGGAGGAGTTCCAGTGTCTAGCTGCTGCTTCACCTCATCTCGTGTCTGTACTGCTTACCCTTGAGGGAGACCCGGATGCACTTGACATCCCGACTCCGCGCTCTTACACGGAGGTGATAGAGGGTCCCTACTCCTCTCAGTGGCAGGCATCTATGGACGCAGAGATGGCTTCCTGGAAGTCCACAGGCACCTACGTCGACGAGGTTCCCCCACTTGGTGCGAACATCGTCAGTGGCGTGTGGATTTTCAGGGTGAAGCGGCCGCCGGGTTCTCCGCCTGTCTTCAAGGCGCGTTACGTGGCTCGTGGCTTCAGTCAGCGGCAGGGAGTTGACTACTTTCAGACCTTCTCTCCCACCCCGAAGATGACCACTCTTCGGGTACTACTGCACATAGCTGCTCACCGTGACTACGAGCTTCACTCCCTTGACTTCAGCACAGCTTTCATGCAGGGCAGCATGCACGAGGAGATCTGGCTGCACCGCCCACCTGGCTTCACTGGGTCTTTTCCTCCTGGCACCCAGTGGAGCCTCCGGCGGCCAGTCTACGATTTCCGCCAGGTACAGCGTGAGTGGCACGACACACTGAGGACTACACTTGCGGCTCTTGGGTTTGCTCCCTCTACTGCCGACCCGTCGCTGTTTCTGCGCACCGACACTTCTTTGCCGCCGTTCTACATCCTCGTGTACGTCGACGACTTGGTCTTTGCCACAGCTGACACTGCTGGACTCGCCCACGTGAAGTCCGAGCTGCAGAAGAGACACACGTGCACTGACCTGGGTGAACTGCGCAGCTACCTTGGCTTGCGGATCACCCGGGACAGAGCACGCCGCACCATTACCCTGACTCAGTCACACATGGTGCAGCAGGTCCTTCAGCGCTTCGGCTTCACGTACTCCTCGCCTCAGGCCACTCCTCTGCCTATTGCCACTCGCTCTCGGCTCAGCCTTCGGATGAGTCTGTAGAGTCGAGTGGCCCGTACCCAGAGCTTGTTGGCTGCCTCATTTACCTGATGACCTGCACTCGACCTGACCTTGCACACCCTCTTAGCATTCTCGCACGCTATGTTTCTCCTGGGAGACACGGACCGGAGCACATGGCTGCAGCGAAGAGGGTGTTGCGCTACTTGTGCAGTACGTCAAGCATGGGGTTTGTTCTTAGAGGGCGGAGTCCAGTGGTCCTTACTGGGCATGCAGACGCTTGTTGGGCTGACGACCAAGCTACGCAGCGGTTGTCACACGGTTACACCTTCAGCCTTGGTTCCGGCTCTGTTTTGTGGCGGGCTACCCGCTTGTCTTCTGTTCTCGGCTCCAGTTGTGAGGCTGAGATCAACGCCGGGGCCATGGCTGCACAGGAGCTTCGCTGGCTCACCTACTTGCTGACTGACCTAGGAGAGCCGCCTCGTTCTCCTCCAGTGCTGTACGTAGACAACAAGGCCATGCTGGACTTGTGTCGAGAGCAGAGAGTGGAGCACAGAACGAAGCACATTGCTCTCCGCTACTTCCGTGCTCGTGAGCTGCAGCAGCGTGGTCAGCTGCGTCTTGCGTAAATGGCCTCTGAGGCCAACACTGCTGATATCTTCACCAAGGCGCTTGCGCCTTGTGATCATCAGCGCTTCTGTACTCAGCTGGGTCTTGTGCTTGCCTTGCCTCACTTGCTCACCTCTTGACCATGCTTGTACTGTTACATACATATATATATACACTTGCTCTTGCTTGTCTAGCCTTTTATATATATATGTACTCCTGCATGTGAACTGGCCTTGTGGCCTTGACCTTGTGCTCGGAATGTGTGGTGACTTTGTGATCCACGCTGAGCTTGCTTTGCTTGACTGGTCTTGTGACCCCTTGTACTCCCCCACTTTGCGTATGGGGATGTGTCAAAACATTATAGCTTATGCTTTTGTGCAGGCTGTAGTGGGGTGGCCTATATGGGGTACAACCCAATTAGGGCTAGTACTTGTACCCAACTCTTTTATAGTGCATTCATTCTCGTTTCTTCTCAGGAGGAGGAGAGGCGTCGGCGGGGAGGAGGGAGAGGCGACGGCAGGGAGGAGGAGAGGCGGCAGCGGGAGGAGGAGAGGCGACGGCGCGGAGGAGGGAGAGGCGATGGCGGGGAGGAGGAGAGGCGACGGCTGGGAGGAGGAGAGGCGACGGAGGTAAGGGAGAGGCGACAGCGGGGAGGAGGAGAGGCGACGGCGGGGAGGAGGGAGAGGCGATGGCGGGGAGGAGGAGAGGCGAGGCGGGGAGGAGGAGAGGCGACGGCGGGGAGGAGGAGAGGCGACGGCGGGGAGGAGGAGAGGCGACGGCGGGGAGGAGGAGAGGCGACGGCGGGGAGGAGGAGAGGCGACGGCGGGGAGGAGGAGAGGCGACGGCAGGGAGGAGAGGCGACAGCGGGGAGGAGGAGAGGCGACGGCGGGGAGGAGGGAGAGGCGACGGCGGGGAGGTAAGGGAGAGGAGATGGCAGGGTGGATGGAGACGGCGGGTAGTGAGGGAGAGGATACGGCTGGATGGGAGCGATAGCGACGGCTAGGTGGGAGAAGAACTGGCAAGAAATTGGGGTGGGGGGGAGGAAAAGGAGTAGGAGCAGAGCAGGTGCTTGTCAAGAGGAACCAAGAACAACAACCAAAGAAAAGACAGCGCCGAATTCGAGCTGTGAAAGAGACGGATGCCAGCGCAGAACGAGAAAAATTCTGCCAGCGCAGAACGAGGGCGTTATGCCACCCAACGCCATCCAACTAGCTGACACATCAGATACACTAGTTGCAAACGCCCAACCCGCTATAATAACCTGATTGAACAGTGGAGTTAAGTTGTTGGTGAATTCAAATTATTTTTATTAAAATTACAAAAAGAACATAATTGTCCAGAGTGTTCCATAATCAATTAACACTGAAAAGAAATTTAAGGGAAGAAAAAATCTATACAACATTTTCCTTCATCATAGGGGAATATAGAGCCTGTCATGTTTTAAGAAAAAAAATGAAAAACTTAATAAATTGCTTCTATAAGCAAAATGTAGTTACAATGTACTCTATAATAATGTTTCTAACACAAGGGATACAGCTCTACGCAACCCTTCCGACGTAAACGTCGAGTCTTGTTTGGATTGCGCTTTGCTTCCCAACTGATCACAATTTTTGGGGGGGTAGACGTCCCTCAGCGACTAACACCGCTGCTTGTGTACTCTCTCGTAAGCACAAACAGCCACGACAAAGGCTACCGCAGAGCAAGCCCGACACCCTCGCCATGGACGAGACCTGATGCATTGCACTCGCGACGTTGACGCACGAGCGTCTCGACGAACTCATGCGCCAGCTGGAGGAATCTATGCTCGAAATTGCGACACTCACAGCATTGCGTGATTCCGCACGACAGCAGTCGACGGCGAATGCACCAGCAGTGGCACCAGCAAGCGCACCTACACAAACCGAAGTACCCATCATCATCTCATCTAGGACACCATCGGAACACGACAGCGTGGGACAGCGCTCAGTAGCAATCAGTGATGGCGCCCTCCAATCTATGCCGGGCATGGAGCAGACCAGGGAGGCACCGGGCATAAATTCACCTCACAAAGCCCGTCGTCATATCAGAAGTGCAGCACATTTCGGCAACAATGACATCCATGAGCTGATGCCACTCAAGCCACAGCGCTCGATCTGTTTCGATCCTAGCCAGCGTGGAGGTCCGACAATTCAGTCGTGGATGTTCACGATGAACGTTTTTTTTTTTTTCGTGAATTACGTCACGCCGGATGAAGCAAAGATTTTGTACGCAGTTTCCTTGCTGCGCGGGCCTGCCATGGAGCGGTGGCGAGTTATCGTAGCATCGCCGACCCAATGTCGTAAGGGGAAAGGCCCTCGGGGCTGGCTGTCACCTGGAGTTTGTTCTGCAAAGTCGCCCAATACCGCATGTGGGACGTGTGGTGCGCAGGGCTACGGGCGCGTTTCGAGCCAATCGCGGCTTCGATCTCAGCACGCCAGAGGCTATGCACAGGTGACAGCTTGGGTTGGTTCAAAACGACACCAACTAGTAGGCTTCGATTAGCAAGTATGAGAGGACCGAGACTTCACGTTGATTTTCAATCTTGAACTGGCAGCAAACGTGGGCACAATACGGCAATCGCGTGCAGTTATCGTTGTCATGCCACCAGCTAACTTACCGTCAAACCGAACGGACCAATCAGATTCTGGAGCAACCGTTTTGCACTAATTGCCCTAAACTGCCTTAGTGTGAGGGTTCACTCCCGATGCTGGAACGTACGTATGACAACACACCCTCAGCAACGACCAACCAGTTACCCTTCTAACTCCATATGGGATTGATCCGGTGGTACCCTCGTCTAGTACACCCGAACTGCAAGCTGCCCGCGATGAAGGAGCAGAGTTCATTCCCAAAGCAAATACTGTCGCCATCCGCAACGCCGATAGGCATCGAAGGGATTTACCTATTAATGTCGAACAGCTGGTAATTCTGGGCACGAAGAACCTTTGGATGCCCCAATCGGCAAAACTTCGTCCGAGATTCGTGGAACCGTTCCGCATCATTAAGACACTGACATCTGACACGAAAAAACTATTGTTGCCTGATTGGCAAATTCATAATGTCACATGTTACATTTGTTGATAGGGTGTAATGAGGCATGCTCTAGAGGGTACAACCCACTTAGGGTTTCCCATATGTACCCAACCTTGTGCTAGGGCATTCATTCCGCTGTTTCACTCCTTGATATGGTATTCGAGCAGGTTCATTCCAGCTGCACTACTGCCTCTTCGCGCGCACTGCCCTACTGTCATGCTACTACCACTGTTGTGCTGCTGCTGCCGCACCGCCCCACGCTGCCCTGCACGCCTGCCTAGCAGTGTCGCGCTGCCCACCACGCACTGCCCCACGCTGTCCCGCGCGCGCTGCACTGCGTTGCTGTGCTGCCCTACGCGTGCCGTCCGAGCGTTGCCGCGCTGCCGCCCACGCCGCCGCCCGCGCTGCCTCACTACACTGCCCAACCTCTGCCACCCGTGCTGCAGCTTGCCCTGCGGCACTGCTGTCAGCGCTGCCACCTGCGCTGTAGCCCACGCACTGCCAGCTGCCGCCAGCTGCCCGATGCTGGCCCACTGCTGCCCGTACACTGCCCCGCACTACCGCTCGCTGCCGGCCCGCTGCAGTCCGCTGGCCGCCCGCTGCCGTGCCACCTGCTGCCGCCTTGCCGCGCCACACCGCCCTACTGCGCCAAACCGCCCTTTTGAGTCGCGCCGCGTCGTGCTGTGCGCCGTACCGTCGTCGCGAAACACCTTCCTACTTACCGCCGCGCCGCGTCGCCCTACCTATTGTCGCGTCGCGCCAAGCTACCGCTCTGCCTGCTGCCGTGCTATTCCCCAAGCCGTTGTCAGTGCCTAAATATGCGGCTAGTTCCTAGTGCTGCTTCCTGACCTAGTGTCTACCATGGTGACTGTCACTGTCCTTACATTTGACGCGCAGGGGCGCCCTATATATTTCGATTCATGGCTAGAGGACCTGCACCTGTACCTGCAAAGCGTTACCGAGGACGATGCCTCGCTGTTTGAGCACACGTCAAGGTCCTTCAAGGCCCCCAAGCCTCCAGTAGAGCATGCCGTTATTGCTGCAGAGGATGTGCAGAAGAAATACTGCATACAGCGGGCGACATGCGACGCCATTAGTACGCTTGCAGTCCGCACTCACCTCTCGCCCGACTAGAAGGTCCACTTTTGCCGGGTGAAGTCGACCGAGGCGTTTGATGCCACTGTAGTTAAGCACTACTCCTCCCCCTCCTCTGGCACCCTAGGTCGTCTTGCGTTGCCGTTTCTCCTCCCTGGGCTATCGGACTTCACCACTATAGTTGACCTCATGACCCATCTGCGCTCCTTTCACACTCACTACTGTGCTGCTCTCCTGCCATAGTGTCTGGCTGAGAACCAGGTCCCCATGTACCTCACTTTGTACTTCCTTGTGACTCGCCTCTCTGGCGCCCTTCGTGTTTTTCGAGACCACTTCCTCTCCCTAGACCCCACTAGTCTCACCCTTGCCTCGTTTGAGACTCGTCTCCTCGAGCCTGAGACTAGTGCCCGCGCTGTAGCTGCCTCTCGTGGCACCCCCAACATCTCCTTCTTTGAGGGGTGTGCTCCCTCCCCTTTCACATCATCTGTTTCCTCTGCTGCGTTGACTTCCTTGGTGCTGAGGAGGTCGGTGCGGCGTCCGCTCCGAGTGGGAGGCGCAACAGGGGTGGGCGTCAGAGGGGTAGGGGTGGTGGGGTTGGTGGAGGAGGCGGAGGCGGTCGGGGGGACGGGAGTGGTGGGGGTAGTGGAGGTGGCGGGGGTGGAGGAGAAGGTGGGGGTGGTGGTCGTGGTGGAGCTAGCAGAGGTGGTGGCACTATTGCGGCGTCTAGTGGAGCTGCGTCTGACAGAGCAACGGGTGGAGGCGGCGGTTCAGAGGGTGGACTGCAGTAGCAACATCAACAACAACCGCGCCGACAGGAGACTCCCTTGCCCAGCAGGTTCATAAGTGGGTGGCTCAGTGGGGCTCTACAGGTCGTGGTGGCTCTGCTAATGGTCCTTGCCCGTAAGTGCGTCGCACTGGCTCTCAGACCGGCGATGCCAGCATCAAGTTGGTGCACGGTGAGGCTTGCTGTTTCTGCCGTCCCGGGGATGCCTTTAGTGACAAGTTCGGTGAGTAGGCTAGGGTCCCTGGCTGGTTAGGACTGCTTAGGAGGGGAGTTAAATTTTTTTTTTGCTTGATTGGGACAAGATCTTTGTAGGCATGTGTGACATGTATGCTGCTGGTGCTAGTGCTGAGGGTGACTATTATTCTTTTCTATCTAGGTTAGTTTGTATAGAGGATGCTAGTGTAGGTGCTTGTGAGACTACTGTTGTGTGCTGCAATCATATGCATTCACGTCTGTTTGCCTCCCGTCATATCCTCCTACTTTGCAAGCATGGTCTGCGTGCGTGTAAGATTTTTGGTTTGACATGGTTTGGACTATCTGAGTGTGTATGAATGTCATTTTTCTTGAGCAGATGTCTAAAATGACTTCTATGTTCAATGGCTTTCTGACAAATCAAGAATCGTCGCAATAGGAGCAAGAACGAGAAAGTTATGATCGCTCAAAGTTTTGATTGTGATGCGGAGACTATAAATTTTTGGAGTGACTCTATATGGGGTATAGACCATTGGGGTTCAGAATATTCGTCACCTTCATTGTAGTTGACGCGAAGTGGTCGGGAGAAGCCAAACCGAGTTCGCAAGTGTGGCCAAGTTGAGGTGAGGTGGATGGCATGGGTTGGAATGTGACAAGAGTCAAAGTGAGGTTGCTGATGGGGTTTGCTTGGTTGGGGACTCCTTTGGAACCTTCCCTCTCGTCCCTCTCATCCTCTTCTCTTTGGTTTCTAGATACTCTAATTCCTTGTGTGGTTCTTGATCAAAATTGTGATTGAGTTAAGTTTAGCTCCAGCATACCCCCTAGCGCGTCGAAATTCATAACTCGAGATTTACTTCACTTTTTTATAAGATTCAGATTGGGAATTGTAGCCTCGATCTATTGCTACAACATATTCGATATTGGTGAAGTTCTACTAGGGAACTTTTCGTTGACGGCGTTTCTTGTAAATTCGACAATTCTGTCCATAAATTTAGTCCAACGATTTTGAGTTATTTTGGCCCATAAACTTCCTCAACTCCGTCCTTAATCCTAACAATTGATAGCACTGGAGTTCCTGTGGAGGCGTTACTCTTGTTCATGCTGGACTCCGGAGCAACCTGGTTCTTCTTTTGCGACTGCACCACCGTCACACCGCTATCGGCACCCGTCCCTGTCACTCTGGCCGGCCCCACCTCTAGACCGGTCGCTGCGCGTAGCTCTTTTTTTTTTTTTTTTTTTTTTTTAATCCCGTGCCCGGTAGTCCTCTATGGCTCCCTCACACGTCTCCAC